ACCACCCCAAAACAACCAAGAAAAAGAAAAAGCGCTCATGACTTAAACCCCCCCAAAAAGAAGAGAAACATGACAACACCCACGGGTTGGCATCACATTTCAGCCGCCAGCCCCCCGCGCCCCCCTACTTACATACATTCGTTACATGGTGCACGCACAGAGCGGACACAGAAAATGAGTGGGAATATGAACATCCAATAGAACATACTCGGGTCTAATGTAGACATCAACAGAAAGAAAAAACAGACATGATCCGGTACACCTGAGCCACGGCTTTCGCCTTGTCCTTTTCGAAGAGCTGGAGCATGACAGTGGCTGGGAACGAGAGAAGGGGGAACGCCGAGCTGTGCCGTGCTTCAGGAGCCCAGTGAGGACCCGGGGTAACAGAGCCCATGCAAACACCGCTGTGCCTGTGCCAGCCCTGGGCCGAGACCTGCGAGCGCTCTGGCTTCACTAAAAAACTTCCCAAAGTGCGACTTTGGCACGTGTGGCAGAGCCGCACACCGCAGAGGCAACAGCAGCCAAAAGCTGGATCCCTTGCGTGAGCATTCAGGGCTCTCTATACCAGCTCCTTGGTTTGCCCCACGCCTCTGCTCTACACATGCCTGCAAAGGGCAGAGCCTTTACAGGAGCTCGACGGCAAGCACAGAGATTCGTAGATGCCAGTTTTCTCTTGCCAAATCCATATCTGGCAGGCAGCAGCCACCGCAGTCTGGCAAGAGCCCGAGGCGAAAGCTCACCAGCAGCCTCAGCACCAGGCAATGTTTAGGGCATGTCCTGCAGAGCTGAGGGTCCCAGCTGGGACAATGGGGATGAAGGAGAGCAGTGGCAAACAGAGCTACATGGGAACCAGCTACCTCGCAGGGCTGCTCTGCTCAAATCTTGGAGGAGCAAAACATGGTGCCTCCTTTTAACGATGGAGAGCAGGGCGTTACAGCAGGGACAGCACCTGCCAGCCAGCTGCTGGGTCACTAGAGAAAGCAAGCCCCGACAGAGAAAGAACAGGCAACTTATGTCCCAGATGAGCTAGAAGTACAGCTGGAGGGACATTCAGACCAAGGACGGGTGGTAGTTCTCTTCCCCAAAAAAGGGCCAATGCTCTTTCCTGTGGGCAAGACCCAGTCCTGCCCTCCTCTGACTCTGCGTGTCCTGCAAAGGCAGCCTTGACAGTGCTTGGGAAATGCTCCAGAGCTCCCCTACGCTCCCATGCTGCAACGCAGTGTAGAGAGGTAGGCTAAGAGCAAGCTTTAAACTCCAAGGTCCTTGTAGCCTCCGTGGGAAGTGGAGGCCGAGCAGTTCGCCAGCACCGAGCTAAGCGGACAGTAGGCGACACGCAGAAGGGAGCGTGTGCGAGCCTGGAAAGGAGCAGTTTCCACTTCAGATCAGCATCTCCCAAAAGGAAGGTGCCTCCTGTCCCCTCACGTTGACAAAGTTGCTCTAAGCCCTTTGCACATCCTCTCACAGGACCGATCCTCTGTGTCTGCACCTGCTCGCTCCAAGGGGTTCAGCGTTACAGAACTGCACAAGGATTGTCTCAAAAAGCCTGAATGCTTGAGGAAAACAGATGCTTGGAATGAACATGCTGCAAAAGGTCTGGGTTTCCCCACATCTCTTGGGACCAAGTGCAGCTCCAGCTTGCAAAGTTCATTCACTGAGATACTCCATGAAGGTGGGGCTCAGATGCTCCCTGCACAGAGGCTAAGCAGCTTTAGAGACCCCCAAAATGAGGGGAAGGAATAAAGTCTCCATCGATGATGCTTAAACCATCTTAAACAAGATGCTAGGTTTCAGCTGGCTGGAAAGTCCCGGCAAGGCTAAACTCACCAGCCCATGCACAAGGTGGTACCGGGGCAGCTGGGCCTCGGGTCAGACAGCCCGAGCCCAATCTCCCGGCTTCCTCCCCAGAGCTATGTTCCTCCAGCACAGCACCCAAGAGCGACATCTGAAGATGCAGAAGGGATTTGGCTCCCTCTGGCCTCTCTACGCATAGTATCACGCTTCTGGAGGAAAAACCCCAAAGGCTGAAATTTTTAGCATTTTGAAACCTCTTGCTTTCAGCCCAGAGGCAGGTTAGTCTGTAGGTATTGCACTCCTCCCGTCTCCCCTCCAGCAAACTGCTGAGCCCCCTGTAGCACTGCCCACGCAGCCTGCGGAGCCCAGGTGGGACTGGGACAAGCAGATGGGGTGGGTTAGGAGCCCTTTCCCAGCCTACTGCAGGGGCCGTCACAGAGCAATGCTGCTAGCTAGGTGAACGAGCTGTCAACTAGCAACTGAAAGGGGAGAGTTTCTCAAAAGACTTTTGATAGATTATTTGGTAAATACATGAATACATCTGATGGCAGTAGCTTGCAAGACTTCTAGCGTGTGCTCTTGAGGAGCACGCCTTACAGCCTTCAGCATCTGCAGGCAAGGTGGAAAAGTCTGGGTCCCATACTTCTAGGCAAGAAAACATCAATTCATGAAGATCCTCACCAAGTTCAGCACATCGCAGATGGGAAGAGCTTCCCACCAGCCCAGTTACCTTCTGGGACCTGAATTAACCCATACTGAGTGCTGCTGTGGAGACAGAGTGGGGGGGACTGAGCCCCAAGAGAAGGGTCCCACTTCCCCACTCCTCTACAAGGAATCCCAAGGACAGTCTGAAGATTGTAATGAGAATAAAGAGATTTTGACCCTCTTTCTCAAGTGAGACTCAAAGCACATGAATAAGACCTGGCTCCCTCTGGTCTAAAGGACTTCCTTCTCTCTGGGAGACGAGGATGGGATTGCTAGTTCAAGACAATGCTATGGTTGTGTCCTGCTGACAGATGGATGAGCCTAGTCTGAACACTACCCAGTGACACCAGATCCTCTCACCTAAAGCCTGCAGCCCTCAAAAAGCAAACCATCTCAGACATCTGAAGCAGCAATTTCCAATAGCAGATGTTACCACAGGCAACACCCCAGTCACCCAGCTTTTTGTCCAACAGAGTCCGTGAACACAACACCGCCTGGTGCAATTAGGTGGCAGAGCCAGGCTTCTGTTTCTGCCTCCAGTGTGTGTGGACGTGCACGCGCCTCCCTGACTGCCCTGAGGTACAGAGGATACGAAAACCCAATGTTCGTGATCCCCGAGTACTGGGCAGTTGGATACACCCATGAGCATGCGAGGTGCTAAGTGGCTCCAGTAGGATGCAGTGTCCAGACAAGTCACACCTGGGGCCGGGCAGACCGGGGAACTCGCACTCCAGCACGGCTGGTCCCTGCAGGCGCACAGTTCTCATCTGTCCGTGCCTGTGTCTGGAGCAGACGGTGGTGCGGCAGCCGGTGAGACGAAGCGTGGACTCCAAGCATGGAGGGACAGGGTGATGCAGCAGTGCAGCACATGGTGAAGGCAGAACCCATCGTGACGTCCGGAGGAGAGCCGAGGTGACCACGTCACTGTCGCCAGGAATCACTTGCTTCCCCCGCACAGTGTTACAGATCAAGAGAAGTCACTAGCGATTTTTGAATCCAAGTAAATTGGCATGGCTACTTTGGACTACTGTAACATAGGAGCAATTCTATTCAATGGCCTTTAATACATTGCATTTACATAGCACCTTTCATCCCAGGGTTTAAGTGCTTTAACGGAAGTGGGTACTGTACACCCATTAGCACGGGGGAAACCGAGGCACAGAGTGGTTAAGTGACTTGCCTTAGGTCACTCGGCAAAACCGTGGCAGAGTGTGGACAGCCTTAAACCTCCTGCCTCCATCAGTTGGTTAGACCACGCTGCTGCCTCAAATGAAGCCACTCCGGTCCCTGCCCTCCCCAGCAACGTGCTCCTACCAATTCTCCAGTGAGGTCTCACACTCCTTTCTGATGCACAAATATATGACCAAAAAAAAAAGTGCAGTAAACTAAATGTTTAAAAAAGCACATTTGTGCTGTCTCTGTGCAAAGATAAAAGAAATAAATACATGATTAAAAAATTAAAAAGGTTCACAGTATCACACATGGATAGGTAGCTACGGTAGTGCACGTCTGGAAAACACTGTGTTACTACCCAGGATACTCTACACCCAGCTGGATGTCTCTGTTGGGAGCTGCGGGTGAGTGGGTGGCTTCTTTGCTGCCCATGTCTGGGATAAGTAGAAATACACGGTTATAGTTTTGCTCCGTTCTGAAATGCAGTGCCCGGGATCCTGCAGTGCAGCGATACTGGTGTCAGCAAGCTCTTCCCCATCCCACTGGAACGGCTGCATCAACGAAAAGGGAACACATCGACCTGCAGAGGGAATCGCTGCTCTCTGGGGCTTCTGTGTCTGCATAGAGATTACTGCAAGAGGCAGAGAAGAGAGAGTCAACACCCAAGCATCCGCCCTGTGTTGCTAGGTCTGAGCCCAGCCAACTCCCCAGAATCAAAACAAGTGTGAAGAGAGAAGGCTGTTTGTTTTGCATCCTCCAGTAACGACAACACAAATGGAGAACTTCAGCTTCCCAAAGCTTTCACTGCACCAAACGATTCGGAACAAGACACAACCTTTGCTGAGCAGACCGGGTCTCTGCCAGCGCAAGAGATCTCGCCTGCTGCCACAGAGCTGATCCGAGATGCAGCAGGGCTCTGTTGCAGCCATGCAAGAGCCCCATGCTGCGCAAAGGCCACAGAGGCTCCCTCTGCAAGCTGACCTTGCAGAGGGAGTGCGAGCTCCGACCTCGACCCACCGGGCACCCGGCACACGTTTCTTGTACACTTACTGTATCGCTCTCCTCATCGGAGACAGAGTGGAGTTGAGCGCTATAGTGGAGCGGGGAGTAAACCCAACTCCTCTCGTCTGTCGGCTGCCAGAGTGGCCAGAGACGGCGGGGAGAATGCAAGGAGAGCAGCAGCAGAGCAGGGAGCAAAGGAGAGAAGAGGAAAAAATAAAAGGAGAAAATAAAAAGAGTAGGAAACAATACAGTAAGAACAGCTGTCCACCCAGAGGGAGAAAACTGAGCTCAGTGCCAGCTCTCAGCAGAGGAGCCTTCCTCATCCTCAGTACATGCCTGCTCCCCACCAGCTGGGACATGGGACAGCCCACCAGCAGCTGACAATGGACCCTGCTCCAGCTGCAGTGGGGATGGCACAACCTCTCCTCTTCCAGGGACAGATTTTTAGAGCTTTTGAGATGCCAGGGAAACCTCAGCTCCCTGCCATAGCATCACCCCGGCTCCAGAGGAACCGAGAGACATGGGAAGTGACATACCTAAGGGCAGTGACAGAGCTCTCGGTTCCTGATACCCACTCCCAGCTCTCAACCCCCTTGTTTCCTGAGCCCTGCGGATGCTACAAGCTGGCATCTCTGGTGTCCAGGAGGGCTTTTACAGTGAAACCTGGTCTGGTTTGCTGTGCCTTCCCCCTTCCCTGCAGGCCAAACAAGGCAGCAGATGGGTGGGTTAGACCATGGTGGATGGTGGCCACAGAAGGGAAACAGTTAGTTATTGCTAAGAGTCTTGGAGACAGTGGGGTGATGGGAACAAGTATGACAAAGGAGGCAAAACACAACTGGATCTTGGAAAGAATGAGGGGGAAGGGGACATGTGTCGAGGGAGCCGGTTATCACAACACTGGGCATCGGTGTGACAAAACACGCTTCTGCTGCCAACGCAGCACAGAGAACCCCAGGCAGATTCAAGGGCTGGTGTCTGCTTCCAGTGTTCCCAGGAGGGATCCACTTCTACTGCAAACAGGCTCTTTTGGCTCCAGAGGTGCTCCCAGAGAGAGGAAACTGCCTCCTTTGACTCAGCCTGGGGTTTGCAAAGGAAGAGAAATGGAACTGGGTACTTGGAAGAAGCCTGGGGGGGTTCCCAGCCTGGGAACCAAGTGTAACAGTCTACAATGTAAAAGAAACTACAAGAAGCCAGAGGAGCTTTGAAGCACTGGACTCTGCATGCTGAACCCCATCAACAATTGCAGCTACATTAGCAGAGACCCCTGGGAGGAAGGAAGGAAGAGAAACTCTTGCCTGGAGCTTCTTACAGGGCTCTGTTAGAGGTGCAGGAAAGCTCAGCACTGCATAAAGCCCGCCCCACATCCTGTTTTTCATCCATCCTGACTGAACCGCATCCTTCAGCCAGCCTCTTTCAGAGCCTTTTAGGAGCTCAGATGCAGGCAGGGAGCTGCAGACCCCGGGGGAGATAAAGGAGCATCCGATGCTTGGTATTAACCCTCCCAGTGCTGGGGCAGCCAAACCCAGCCGAGGGGGCAGAAGGAGCTGCCGGGAGGGGTTGCCTGTTTGCCCACATAGGTGCAGCACTTCCCTCATGCCATCAGCCAAGGCCAGGAGCACGTTACTGCCCCTGCTTCCTCATGCACCCTGCCTGATGCCCTCTCCACTCTCCCCTGCCTGGTACCAAAAAGGCAGGTGCTGGGAAGACCATGCTATACAAATGCTTGTGCCAAGGCTCTGACAGCACTGCCATTACCCTCCGAGGACATCAGCTCTCTCAAAGCCCGAGAAGGGAAATACTAAAACCCAGAGCAAGTCTGAGCTCTGGATTCAGCCCCTAAATGTTCAACTGCCTCCCTGCATCTTTCAGAAAGAAAAGGAAAACCCTCACTGCTCACAGAAAACCTGAAGTGAGGAGGGAGCACACTGGTGATGTTGGGAAGGGCTGGAGAGCAGAAACCATCCCTAACCCAGCAGCAACTCCTAACTCATTTGGCTTTATGAGCTGCTCACCATCCCAGCCACCAGAAAGATGACCAGCCACAAGCCTAAAAGGTTATATTTGCAACTGGATTTTTAGCAGCTCCAAGCTTAATGGTCTCTTTGGAACCCCGTCTGGCTTCCTGGGCCAAGGGAGCCGAGCCTAACATTACCTACAAAGGCTCAGGTGCCTCCCTGGCCAAGTCTGGTGCTTGCAAGTTTGTCCAAGGGCTGGGTGATGCTGCAGCCCATCCCATGGCAGAAGCTGTGTCACCAGCCTGCAGAAAAGCAGGGCAGAGCATGTGTTTCTGCAAGATCCCACAGGGAGATCCATTTGCGAGATTTCAATATGCTTCCCTGGTTTCTGCTGGGCTGGTTCCTAACGGCCACACAATACAAAGCCACAGCATCCACGGGAAAGGGAGTGCTGGCCCCAGTGTTTCAAAGCTGCAGCTCTGCTCCCCTACGTGCTAGCATGTTCACTTACAATCCCAGAGGAAAGCGAGGTGGTTCGGAGTCTGCGCTGGCGGGGAGAGTAAATCCAGTACCTCCCATCTGTGAACTGGATGGCCCCAGGGCAAGTGATGTGAGAAAGGAAACAGAGGAAAAGAGGATGATGTGAAAGAGAGGATGAAAGAGAAAGCAAAAAACAAGGGGTTGGGCAACTCCAAGCCTGAACGGATCAGCGGGCAGGAAAGCCGTGCGTGGGCAGAGCGGTGCCCATGCGCTGCCACAGTCTCTGCACTTTTATTCCCCTGTGAGTGAACAGGAGGATAAAGTGCTCTCCTTTCAGGAGCAGACTTCCAAAGATCAGATCACAGTCCCCTGGGATTTGACAAATCATCCTCTGCACACAGCAACCCTTCACCAACCATCGCCCCTGGAGCACTCCTGCAAGAAAGCAGCTGTGGTCCAAGCCCTGCTGCACTCTGGTGCAGCCTCACTTGAGCTCCAGCTCAAGTGGTTTTCCAGGAGAGCGCCCGTGGGAACCCAAATCAGCTTCTCCCTTCATCCCAGCAGTGACAAACACTCCACGGCACACGACACACATTTAATGCAAAACTCAAGGACTTAGATGAAGTATGAAATGCTGATGAGCAGTCACACTCTCTGTGAGCACACACTGCACACAGATGGTTTCCTCCAGATAGAGAGGTGCCCCTCAAGTTGAGGGGAGTCCACATGCCCAGGGACAGGGAGGAAGAGGAGCTGACCCTCGCTAGAAGACACTTGCCAGTGGAGCAGGCAGTATCTGCAGGCAGCTTGCACAGAGCTGCCATCCACAGGCAAAGAAAGAGCAGCCAGTGTTAGAGGGAGCTGTTTGCATTTTGAACAGCATGCATAAAAACCCAAACAGACAAGCTTTTAAAATGGAGCTGATTCCTTCCACAGCTCCCACGAGCCTCGGAATGAGTCGGCAATGAGCGAGCAGCTCTGCATCAGAGTCACGCAAGCACAGGGAAAGGCAAACGTTGCCATTTTTAGGTTAGCCTGAAGGAGCTCATCACAAGGGCTCAGCTCATCTCCATCGCCATATAACTGACAGCAACGAGTCGGAGCAGGGAGGAGCTGGGCACCTCTTTTAATGAGAAGGTTCCAGTGCCCAGGCATGGGGGAGAGCTCTCACGGGTCAGACCCTCAGCTCTGCTCTGGGAATCCATGGGGCAGGTACATGTTGCTAAAAACTCTTCTCTGGTCTGCAGAAGCTGCTCAGACATTGCGAGAGCTGACTGAGGAACACAGCGCCAGGCTCCACGGCACTCTGCTGCCAACCAGCAACCACTTCACTTACTCCCTGTCTCAGCACTAGATTTTCACTGCATCACCTAATGCATCTGCCTGCAGGGAAAGGAAAAGCCAGAGTTCACCAGAGCCCGAAGTCAGCCCCACTGCAGCCACCTCCCTTCTGGCTCTAGGCCACTGCGGCACGTTTGTGTTCAGGAAAGCAGCCGGGCTCCCTGGCTGAGGAAGGAAGAACCTCTCAGTTGCACCTACATTCACCTTGGCTTGTCCTGGGAATGAACGTGCTGGCCTAGATAAGCCCTTCAGCACTTGTGCTTGGAAGTAGAGCGGCACGCCTACGGCTACATCCACAGCAGCAGTGCCACCCACTAAATGCTGTTTTGAGTTCTCCAAGGGTTAATCCAGTTCCCTGCATTCAAAAACCCATCCAGCGTTAAGATCTCGAGGTGCTCAACACGAAGACAGCATGGGGGAGACACTGCCCTGCACCCGACTGCCTGAAATCGAGACTGTTACAGCCTCGTCCAACCTTTCCCATCACACCCCTAACGGGCCAGGTGGAGAAGGTATCTTACAAAGTATATGTCTGTGACTGGCACGTCATCTTCATCCGAGGCCTGGCTGGCTGGTTCGGAGGCCTGGCTGGCTGTCTCCACCTCTATCGTAGCTGTGGACGTTACAATGGCACAGGCTGAAGAAGCCGCCTCTCTGGAAGGGGGAAGAAATGACAGAGTCTAGTCACTGCGATCAGAAAAGGAGCAAGCAAGACTGTATGATTTATTACAGAAGAGCTGAAGATGCTCCGCTGCCACATCCAGATAGATCAGGTCAAGTCAGAAGTAACAGCGCTCAGCTTCACTGAACTGTCTGGGGGAGCACCTGTCTCTCAGGGAAAGCTGGTGCCCTACAAAGTCAGCCTCCAGCACAAGTTGCCACAGACCAAATGACACCGGGTAGGGCTCTGCAAAGCTGCCCAACGCTCTGAAACACTCACTCTTTGTCATCTTCTTCAGGAGCTATGATCTCAACATCACACTTGGGCTCCAGCTCAACACTGATCTGCTGAAGCTCCTCCTCAACGCGCACCTCCTCGTGTGACCTGGAAACCGAAGAGAGACAGGCCCAAAGGCTCAGTTGGGCACTAGTTATGCACAGTCCTCAATTTTAGGTCAGCCTGAATCAGTCCTGAGTCAGCCCAGCCTCTCTCACA